GACATCCTTTTACAAACATTTGTTAAAATTGAGGACCCCCCTATGTATTTACTGATTGTATTTAATTGCTAGTGTTGAATTAACCCTAAATATGTGAACTAGTGTTTTTTATTAATGTTTATATGGTCATTTTTTTTTTACCAGGACTTTTAGAAGTCTTGATATTTACGTGTTTTCCTTTTTCACTAAATCACTGAACCATGACTAGTATTGTTTAGTTTTCTCCCTAAGTGTTTTGAACCGAAGAACCAGAAAAGGCTGAGTCTTCCAGAAATTTTCTTTAACATGTGTATAACTCTTGCTTTTCTAGTCTTTCCTTCTCTATAATTTTTCTTTCCCTTAAGTATGAGGGGACTTCAAAAGGTCATGGAAAAATGGAAATAAAATGAGTTTACTTTGGTACCAAAAGGTTTTGAAATTAATTCATAGTATTTTCATAATGCACCTGTTTACAAAGTTTCAAGAAATACCTTTATTCATGATAGAACACATACGAGTGCATGAGAGAGAGAGAGCGTGAGCGAGCGTGCTAGCATGCACACACAAGAGAGAGATGGAGCAGCATCCTCTGCAGATCTTGGTCACACTGTGCTCTCTTTCTTCCAGCCCTCCAGCCTGTCAGGATCCTGGGTATGTGCTCACATGCACAGTGTATTTTCAGATTGACTGGGCTGGCTATTTGAACTACATTCAGCATGTGGTTTCCAACTGCACAGTCCAGTGATAACTTACTGACTGTGCCACAGAGTCTGGGCCCCAGTATAAATATTTATCTCATGATTCAGACATTTCTGAACATAAATTTATTTATACATTTCCAAAATCTACAATAGATACAAAAAATGGAGCTGAATAAAATTATTTGTAAATAGTATGTCTAATCAGACTCTTTAAGTCATTGATAGGCTGTGACAGAATGTGTACTTGTCACGCCCAATATTCCTCTATTCAGTTCTATACCTCTTTCATGGTTACATTCTGTATCTTCTCATAATACTTACAAATAATCTTACCAAAACAAAGGTCATTATTTAATAAGTTAGAATATATTGACATATATGTCTTAGGACAGGATGTACAAATTTGACAAAATCTATTTCCAACGATCCCTCATGCCTCAAGAAGCCCTCTTATATTACCCAGTAGCTTCCCTTCTCCTGAAAGCCTCGGGGACCAAGTGCCTTGACAGTTAACTTCACTATTTCTTGGGGTTGGAAGCAATGCAGTCTTGTGGTTGAAGGAAACAGTTTCCAGGTATCATAAAACCAGACATTGCATCTGGCTTATCCAGTATTCCCAGAGTAGCTTGCAGTGGCCACGTGCACTATTTTGAAGTTTCTCATGTGAGCATTCTGCATCATGTCAGGCAGTCCTGGTCTCCGATGACTGAATATTCAGTTGCCCAAATAACTTCTTGTCCAGTCAGGAAAGAAAAGTATAGAAACTATCCTTAGCATCTTTACTAGTTCTTGTCTATTCTGGAAAATTTAGCTTTATTATTTTCTAAACTTCTATTTTCCTAGAACTCATATAGCCCTAGATTATGATCTGTATTTATATTTTTCTTGTTAGAAAAGCTTATAAGAACCAAGTTATTCATGTACTTGCTCAAATACTCAATCAACAGAAGGGAGAATTTCCTATATCTCTGTTTTTAACATTCTGCATGTGTTAGTCCACGTCCTTCAAGAAGCACATGCTGAGATTTAGGGGAAGTGCCTGTGTTAGAGAAACCAGAGAGAGAGCTGGGAGGCCATGGTGCAGGTGGTGAGGCATTGCTCTGTAGTGTCAGAGCCACAGGGGAGACCAGGGTTCAGATCT